GTTTGAGTGAGTCAAAGTGAGAACTAAAGTGCCTAACTGGAGTTAAGGACGAGTTATATGCTGTATACAAATGCGGCATTATACACCATCGCGGGATATTGGGTATATGAATGAAAATGTAGTGGTAAGCGATGAATATCTGCAAGCGATGATAAAAACGTCGCTAAAGTTTACCCAAACGATACTGGACAACTGTCAAAATAAGAGTAGAAAGCTGGCCACACATTGGGTGTGGCATGTGCTCAAATTGGACATCACTACCGTTGATGGTTATTATAGCAACATTTCATAAAATTTAAAGCTCAAGTCTCTGCCACATTCACCCCATTCCCCGGATATAGCCCCAGCGATAATTATCCGTTAACAAACCAGAATAGAATAGAGTGATGAGATAACTGCGAAAACTGCAGCATATTTCCAGGATGTTCAATAATCATTTTCCTAAAAAAATTGACATCGAAACGATTGAAGGAAGTGGAACGGATTGTATCTTTTAAGATTTGAATCAATATTGATCAATCCAAACACATAACTCTGAACAGACGTTATTTTTCACTTCTTTTACCTATTACCTTTTCCTTTCAAGCATTTGATACTTGAACGAAACTTCTAAACAAGCTTACTAAACAAGTCACATGCACTTCATACTTCAATCGACTGACTGTCATGTCAAAGTTTTATTGCATATTTATGCAACAATTACAACTAATAACAAAGATATTTTCCCATGGAAAATAGTAAATTTATGCTTAAACTAATGGAAATGCATGCGTGCACGTCTTTTACATAAACGTATGAAATGTTGAGAATATTTGACAAACACCGATCAAAATTACTTAAGTTACAATTGCTGGCCAATGCAATGTGATCGCTTGTTTATTTTTGCTTATGATAATTTCGTCTTCCAATTTTTTTCTGAATAAAATTAAGGATTAGATATAGCAGCGTATTACTCAAATGTGATCCTACATAGAATTAATATTCTCACAATTGCGTAGACCAACTGATGCACTTCACACATTTGTATATACAAATGATGTTCTTAACAGTAACCCTCTTTAAGTCGGAATCGTTCCAGAACACTCCCGTAGAAGCCATGTTCCTAACTTATGCAATATTAATTGATAGTTTAATTAAGTGAAAAACTAACTAAAAATTTGTTTTGAAAGTTTAAGAAAGTGTTTGTACAGATTTGTAACATTTCGAATCAGTAAAGTCAGATGATACACTGATTGTACCCTCCTTAAAAGTGAATTTACCACTTAAGGATGAATACATGGGAGACTTGAATGTTTCTTCACTATATATAAATTTGTGAATTTGTGTCGATGGGCATGATTTTGATCTCGCATACTTAAATAAAATTCATAAACTCGGCGTTTGCTGGTATTTTTATATTGTATTATCACTAAAATCTTTTCAAACTTTCATTTTTTTTTTATATTCATCACATGGGACATAGGGAGCCTAACGAGTATTATTAATGCTTGAAAAAAATGCATTGAAGACATTGAGTAGACAATGTGACTAACTGCATCTGTCTAATAGTCTTTTCTGAACATGATTGCAACTTAAACTAAAAGAAAACTTGCTGTCAAGTTTTTCTCCATAAAATGGATCAATCTAAGTCTTAACTAATTGTGAACGTGTTTACAGGTGGGTCGCGCACACTTTCAAGTTGAGTTGATCGGATTCAGCTACAAATTTGTGTGACAAGTTTTAGGCTCCTCAATTCAATTTTTGTGATCTTAAATCCTCTTGCAAGAGACAGGACAGAAAGACAGAGGAAAGAGCAGATGAACGAACGTACATGGAAAGCGGTGACAAACAAACAGGCATTTATAAATTGACGTAATCTTAAATATTTGTACACTGTAGGATCGGTGATTGATATTAATTTTGAACGTTAGGAGCGGAAAAATAAATCAAGTAAACGCCCATCATCCAGCGGTGGATATAATAATATTATAGCGACATACATATACATATTTCATAAAATAAATATTAAGTTTATAGAAACGAATTTTGCTGAGACCAAAATAAAAAAAAATTTCCGATTAAAAAATAACGGCACATTATGTAGTTGAGAGTTGAAAAAATTGCTTGATAACGAAGGAAGTGTAAAATCCAACAGACAAGATGACTAATAAAATTAAAACCATATCTGTATCCTGAGCAAGGTCAAAAAGACATCACAAGTCACAACGTTTTTTTTTTTTTTTTTTTTATTATTTTTCTCTTTTATCGTTTTCGTGACGTTGCAAGATAGATCTATAACAAATTTGATATTGTGAAGGATTTTACTGTCACTATTGCTCTGGAATATCAAATTTGATATAAAGTCACAAAAATAATGACAAGAAAACATATTATATATTCTTATGACTACTACTGGTGAACAATAGTCACAGCGCCGGAATATCACTGCAAAATCTGATCTTCATGACTTGTTTCAAGAGGTTTATATAAATGAAGAATTTGCTCAAATCGAATGAAACGAAAAACGTGATCACTGGGGAGAAAAATCGAGATGAAAAATTTAATTCTTGGATAGTGAAGTGCTCCTGTAAGTATGTAAAAAATTGTTCTTTAATTTAGTGTGCGAATTTAATCTAACTCGTTCGCTGCCAACCGTCACATATCAACAACATCACATCCCGACTTACTAAGGTATATTTAAACATGTTTTGTTTTGAATAAAATTCTCAAGTTCTAAAACGGTAAAATATATGAAGACGGGGGATCGATCTATAGTTGTCGATGGAGTATATGATTTTCTTAATATTAAATGAAAAATCTTAAGGTTGTGATGTATATTTTCCCCACAAAATGCTGATAGCGAACGAATTGAGGGATATTAGGGTTAAGCGGTAAGCAGAAAAGAATTTTACGTAACATTATTTTGAACGTAATAAAAAACAAGTAAGAAAATTAAATCCAGTCGGGATCGAATCTTTTATGCCCATAACCGTTTACCCCAAAAAAAGACAAAAGAAGTAAAAGCAAAAAATTCTCATGCTCTATAATATGGAGTGGGCGCAGCTGACGCCGTCTGTTTAAAGTTACGTACACAAACAGATGGACATGTTTTTGATGCTTCGTCCTGTGCATTGTAAAGGTATTGAAAAAATAATGAAATTTTGATACACTATAATATTGGGTAGACGCTACAGCCATCGCCCATAGAATATGCCTTCAAATTTTTGTACATTTTTATCTGATGGAGTTTATGAATAATGAGCAAAAAACCAATTTTTCATTCTCTTTCCAAAAACAGAGGAGTTCTTAGTTTACATGGTGCTATGGACGTGTCCTTCGATCGGTTTGGTCTATTTTCAATACCAACATGCTTACAAAAACTTTCAATGTTTCTGCCAAATTTGAAGCCAATAGCTAGCCTAGTGGCCAGGAGTATGTTTATAACAGACATCACACAGATGAAAAGACAGACATGCTTAAATCGATTTAGATGCTGATCAAGAATATGTATGCTTTATGGGGTCACTGATGCTTTCTTCTGGTCTTTGCAAGCCTTTTGACAAAATAAATATACCCCTCATGCTTCCGTGATGGGTATAAAAGATGAGACAATTTCGCTGGGATTAGCCCAATTAATGGGGAAGGATATGCTCGATAAAGCCTGAACATGCCCGATTTTGTATTTATATGCGCGAATTCAGAAATTGTGTTATGTATTAGCTGACCGATTGAAAATATTGTCATACAGAATATTTATGCCAAGAGGGATAAACATTCGTGCCAAACTTCATATCGGTAGTTGTATTTGTGGTTTCAGTTTCTTAACGATATATTAACCGTAATTCTCATTTAATTCAAACAATTTTCAAGCTTCAAATATGGAAATCTAATAAGAACGTAAGAGGTTTTGCTTCAAATTTACGATCATTTTAGAATTTCTTGGATGATTATCAAACGGATGAAAAGACAGGCGGAATCTGACTAAATCGACTTCGAATATTATTCTGATTAAAAATGTATACATAAGCAGGACTATGTGAGAAATGAAATTTTAAAGTATTCACACTGACGCTATTTTTTTTCTTAAATTCTGATCCATATTTTCAAATAAAATGTCTAAAGTTATATCCACAAAGCATATAGACAGTGAAGTATTCCCTGAATTCGTACTGCAATAAAAATAGCGAGAGTTTTGTAAATATACAAAAAATTAATAATGTTAAATTAGTAATGCTTTAGACATATTGACTAAGGAAAATGTGGTCCGATCGGGAGCATTTTCAATATAAAAATATCGCAAAAATCTCAAATATCTCGATATCTACGATCTTTGGGTATAATATGGACAGACGGACAGACAAGCTTAGAACGGTTCAAAAATTGATTTTAAATCAATCGATATAGTAAAAGGCGAGTTTATCTTAAGTTTTTCTGGATGTTATAAACCTCAACATAAACTTAATATATCTTTGTGCCACAAGTCGCGTGCATAAAATTTAAATTTTTTTTTCGATCGTTCACTTTTAGACTGCACCTTTTTTGTTTAGATCTGAAAATACGATCAATCAGGGTGCGAAGAGCACCGTTAAAACTATTTTTTCGAAAAATTAATTAATAATATTAGAATCAACTTTAACTTTGTTATATTTTCACGAATATTTTCGATTAAAAAAAAAAAAAGAAAAAACAAAACACACGTTCAACTATTTACCAAAATTTTTATTGAAATACAAAAAAAAAAAAAAAAATTCAACTTGATAAACTTGAAAGTTGATGAAAAAATAAATATTTGAACATTGCATGGTCACAAGTATACTTTTGGTTAAAGTGCTAAATTGTAAATAAGTGAATACTTTAACAGAGAGAGAGAGAGAGAGAGAGAGAGAGAGAGAGAGAGACAGAGAGAGAAAAAGAGAGAGAGAGACAGAGAGAGAGAGAGAGAGAGAGAGAGAGAGATCAATAAAAACGAGATTTGATGAATGAACATCAGTATTCATAATTCATAAATAAATTAATCGAACTTACCTTTCCGTGGTGGGTTCAGCACATATTAACGGTTGCTTTAGTTCAATCACTTGACCATTTTTTTCTTTCAATTCACCATTTTCCATATAATATTGTACCAGCTCAGGTAATGTGGCAAATTTTTCACCTAAATTAATTTAATTAAAAATGAGCAAAGAAAATCTCGACTTACAAATTATTTCATATTTTTACGTACCACCATAGAGATCGAAAAAATCACCATTATTTTGTATTTTAATATGTGTCACTTCCTGCCCTCTCCGAACTGATAAGGTAAAAGCGCCCGGATTTGAAGAAGACAAACGTGCTAAAAACGAACCATCAAAACCCTGTTCCAATAATAATTTTTCTGCTTCAATGCCGGATATTGTAGGATGAAACCATCTGTAAATTTATTATATTTTAAAAACATTGCAAAATGAAACTTATGCCGCACGTATCACAAATCCTGATTTCGTTTATCTAATTATATATAAATTATGTGTCCGATTTCGAACAATGTGAGCAGAATAGATATTCTTGCAAAGCTGGGCAACAGAGACGCTATAAACTATTTATATTCATGACAATTTCTATTTTCTTTTCCCATTCCTTAAAATATGTAAACTAAATTTTAATCTGTGTCCACTTAGTTACTGGCCAAAAAAATCAGATATCAACATGGGCTTGATTGCAGACATACTTACGATCGCTAAGAACGCCTATTGAAAATATCGAGAACAACAGTTCGACTCTTGTAAGGTCTTCAAATGATTAAATATATATGTACATATATGAATATATTCTGAATTCTCAGACTTTATCCAAAACCAACATAACTTTCTTGTTGTAAAAAAAAAAAAAAAAAAAATTTGATTCCAATTTTGAATTTCTATTCTAGTTTTAACCGAAAATTTGCAACATATGAATAATTATGTTCTTCTTCTTCTTTACTTGACAAAAGCTTTACGCGTTGCCGTAGTGTTACCATATTTTGAAAACATTTCTATTCTCAACATATGGTATTTTTCACATCTGAAGAAAAGAAAACCAGCTAACGGTTTTTAATTACAATGAAAATATTCAGTTATTGTAGTAATAGCAATGACAAGAAAAAGTATATATGAAAAGTTACGATAGCATGTACGTTTTCGAGTACTGTGTCTCGAAATGAGCAATTGTAACAAACGACTGATAATTCGAAAAGATAAACAATTGAGTAAATGAGCAAGAAACAAAAAAACAAGTAAGAAAATCATACTCGACTAAGCTGAATTATGTTAACAAAAAAAAAACTAAAAAAAAGTTTCGACACTTCATAATATTGATTGAGCGTGTCCGGTGTTCCCCCAGATACTACTAAATCAATCATCCACCAATTTACCATCATAGTAATTGTGGTTTTAGGTGCAAAGAAGTAGCAAAGAACCGTGCATTTTTTGCTTTGGAAAACGTAGGTTTACTTCTTAGGGTGATTGCTCCTACGACCGAATTGGACCATTTTCAGACCAACCTACCTAAAATAGTTTCCAATGTTTTTGACAAGCATGATATCGATATATTCATTTCTGCGACCAATATCTACACAGATAGACAGTCAATCGGACAGACATACTTAGATCGATCCAGTAGTTGATACTGATAAGCAATATGTACACTTTATAGATTGTATTAAACTTGATTTTGGATGCTGCTGCACACGCACTGACAAAACAGATATGCTCTTAAACTTCGGAGGCGGATATGATAAACAGAATACCTTTATTAAGAAGAAGAATTAAAAATTTAGAGTACATATATAATCAAAAATTTAAAAACCACGAAAAGATATGAATATTGGAAGTTAACGAAAACTATACGGCATAAAAACTCGCGTACGTACAAGCTAACGACCAGCCAGCCAGCTAATCGTAGTTGGAAAAACTCAAACATAATACAGTCAACTAAATAATAAGCTAACCAGCCCCGGTTTTATTAATGGAAAAGCAATTGCATATGTATGAGATGCTATTAGTACTACTGCTCAACATACATGCGTCATATATGCATAAAGTATATATATATGCCTATATACATATATACATATATGTACGTGTACTCAAGTATAAACATGAGCACATCTACGTGCATATATATGCGTTTGGAACCTGCAGCAACACATGGAATTATTGTTGATATATTTCAATTTATTGCTCTCATTCCAGAGGAAAAACCGGAGACCGGACATTGGTCTAAATTAACAGTATAAGTATATAATAGAAAGACCCTTTTACATTGTTCAATGCTTGAAGTGCGGGTGTTGCAATTATTACCCAGTAACAACAAGATTTTTTAAACACGCTGCTATGACCATGTGTGGGGGGTATTGCAAGTAAACAAGGCCACTCCCTCCCTCATTGCATTTTGTCGCATACCTTGACGAACTATTCATAGCAAAATTTTTCACAATTATTTCCACATGAAATAGAATTTTTATTGTTTTTCACACGCCTTTACAGCGCCTAAACAGCACTCTTTAGCCCGTCACTCGGATAATAATCTTTAATCATGAAAAAATGAGTTGAAGGGAATGCGATGATGATGGAGTGATGAGTGGGGGGTGGAGGGGGGATGACAGAGGACGAGTAGGGTAAGAAATGCAAGCACAAACACATACACAGTACATTTTTTTGCAAGCATTTTTTTCACCGATTTCTACACTTCATATAATTTTCATAATTTAATTTTTCTAGTTTTTGTTTTTGTTTTGTTTTTTTTTTTTGCCCTTTTTTTTCTTTGAGAATGTGTTACCTTCGCGATGACATTTTCTTCAATAATTTAGAATTTTTATTGTATGAAAATGGTTTATTTTCTCTTGATAAAAAAATAAATATACTTTTTTTAATGCAAGAAACTTCTCCTCACGAAACAACTTCTTTTGCACTTGCCGTCTTCTTCTCACACTATTGCTTTTCCCTTTTTGTGTTGGACAGTTGTTTAATTTCCTCAGATTCCCTTTTGTTAACGAAATTTATCGTTTTCTATATTTCATATTATTTCTCATTATTTTCATTTTACGGTATATTTATGACATTTACGCGTTTCTTATATGCGATGTTCATAAACTTTACGATCTTTTTCATTTAAATTAAAAACGATGCATTATTAAGGAATTACATTTTTTGCTTTAATATTTTTTATCTACAAAAGATATGAATTACATGGATTATTAAATGACTTCGAGTAAACATTTGCACGCTACAGAAAGATAAATGTAAAAATTGCTAATTTTTAATTGTTTAATTATTTTAAATAGATATCTGGCTATTTATAATCAATCAATAAATTTAAATATTGCACGACTAGAAAATCGGCGGTATATATGTGCAGTTTTTGACGAAGTTTCGCTTTTTCTATCATATAATATAACTTTTGCTTTGTGTATCGTATAGAAATGAATTTGGGACAAATTTTTAGAATTTGGCTTTTTTTTTCTCTTAAGTAATTGTATTTTGCTTCGAAAGTTCACTTTTCCGGGAATTCTCTCCACTTATTAATGTTTATGTAAACCAAATCTAGTCTATGTTCTTTTTTCCAAATCGTATAATTTTTCTTTTTGAAAAGCACGCTACACGGTCACCTAGTCGGAAAGTGCATAACACAAAACCGATAAGCCATCATTGTGTGCAGCCCTTTAGTATTCGTTACGCTTCCTTATATCGTAAAGCAATTTTCTTCTTGAAATGCGACATCGTTTTAATAAATGCAACACTTATGATGGATAGTTCATTTTATACTACATGTACCGAGGACAAATATATAAGTAAAGAGCACGCGTGCTCTCTCTGAACAACGGTTGGTATATTTCATAACGTTAGTTATGAATTTTTCTATCATATGAAATAGTCGAATGTATGTTGTTGATTTTCTTTTTATCGCCAGCTGATTTTTACTTCCTTTTATATCGTTTCTTTATTATTTATTGTATAAATTTTAAGTCCGTGCTTACTCTATATGCAAAGATTAAATAAATTCGTGATAATTTTTTAAGTAAAAGTAAACTCCACACGAATGTTGTTAACCACATTGAGAAACGCAGCGCGTAATATAACAAAAGAAAGCCTACGGGATCTTTTAGTCGATTCTTCACAAACAAGAAAACAATCGGCTTGGTTAAAATCAGAACTCGCGGGAATGGCTGACAGAGAAGCTGCCACTCCACCTCGGCAAAGGAAAGGAAATCGACAAGAAAAGGCTAAAAAGCAAGCGACGTCTTATGTTCCAGGCAATATCATACTGCAAGTATTAGGAGCTGGAGGCAACGGGGCTCCGGTTTCGTTATTTTTATTCACTGATCATTCCCGTTATTTGTTCAATTGCGGTGAAGGCATTCAACGTTTAGCTCATGAACATAAGATTAAATTAGCCCGCATGGAAAATATCTTTTTTACGCGTAATACATGGCCAGCGATAGGTGGGCTGCCCGGATTGACCCTGACGATACAAGATGCAGGAGTTCGAAATTTAGCATTATACGGACCTCCGTATTTGGACAGCGTTTTTCATTCCATGAAAAGATTCGTTGTTTTGCAGAATTTGCAATTAACAACAACAGATTGTACGCAACCAGGACAACATCACTTTGAAGACGCTGTAATGTATATGAAATTTATACCCTTAAAAAGAGATGAACACATAACGACAGAAAGTAAATGTAATGATCAGGTGGTGATAGCCTACAAATGTAAATTAAAACCCAAGCCAGGTGCTTTAAATCTGGAAAAGTGCGTAGATCACAATGTGCCGCCGGGACCTCTATTAGGTTTATTAAAGAATGGCATAGATGTCACTCTTGATAATGGGAAAATTGTTAAATCGAAGGATGTCTGTGATCCTTGTGAGAAGCCCTTCAATTTCATTATTCTTGATGTGCCTTCGGAAGAATTCCTGCCAGCTTTGCAACAGGAGGAGCAACAATTTCTGTCAAGCGATAACATCGATTGTGAAACGACTATAGTTATGCACTTTACTCCACCAGAAATATTCGAGAACAATTGTTATCAGTCATTTTTACAAAAATTCCCGAAACAAACACAACATTTGCACTTGAATTCTTCGCAAAATACTTTTTCCGGTTATCAGGCAGCGCATCGTGTACAATACCAGTTAAATCAGTTGAATCCACGTGTGTTTCCTTTATTGGGAGAAGCCACCGCATTAAATACGACTGGTGACATAATAAATGGCTTGAAGAAATCCAAATTATCGGCAGAAGATTTAAGCTTAAATCGCTACGAAATTGAATTAGAAAACGGGAACGAGAAAGACAACGCAAATGTAAACGTTAACTTTGTGAATTTGAAACCTATGACATCTTATCATTTAAGACCCAAGAAAGGTATGAATAAAATAAATAAATAAATAGAACTTCAAATTTTTCATTAACAACGATTTTGTAGGCCTCAACCGCACATCAGAAACAATACTAAATCCCAATGAATATATTCAAGAAGCTCAATTGCTGCCCGAGTTTCCGCAACTTTTAGATAAACTTAGATCGGATTACAGCACGCTTTCCGTAAACGCATCTTGCGTTGGTTCGCAACAATTACCAAAAATTACGTTCCTGGGCACCGGTTCGTGTGTACCGAACAAAACGCGTAACGTCAGTTGTATTCTATTACAAACTTTGCCTAAGGCCTTTGTGCTATTAGACTGTGGCGAAGGAAGTCTTGGACAAATACAGAGATTTTTTGGCTTAAGGCAGGCCGATGAAATTGTGGAGAATTTAAAAGCTATTTACATATCTCACTTGCATGCTGATCATCACATTGGATTAATAAATTTTCTTAGTAAACGTCTCGATTTTCTTCAGAGTAAAAAAATATCGAAAAAGATTTTACTATTCGCACCTAAGCAAATAGAACCGTGGCTTAATTTTTATAATGAACATATAACCAACTTAAGTGAAGCATACGAATTGGTGGGTAACGCGAGCCTCCTAGACAAATCCTTCAATTCGGAGGATTTCCAAGTTAATACGGGTATTGCTTCTATGCGCACTTGTTTGGTGCGTCATTGTCAGCACGCGTTCGGTGTAAGTTTAGTCTTAAAAGACCCGTTAAATCACAGCGTTGCAAAAGAACCGGTCAAAGTAACATATAGCGGTGATACTATGCCTTGTCAGGACTTGATCGATTTAGGTCTTAATTCTACCATACTAATACATGAGGCAACGATGGAAGATGACTTATTGGAGGAAGCTAAAATGAAAAAGCACAGTACACTCTCGCAAGCGATAGAACAGGGACAGTCAATGAATGCACAACATATTATACTTACGCATTTCTCGCAACGTTACGCAAAATTGCCACGCTTACAGGTAAATTCCGATTCGGAAGCTATTGATTCCCTAACAAATGTCTCTATAGCCTTCGATAATATGCAAGTTTCTGTCGAAGATTTGCAACACTTTCATTTAATGTATCCGGCTATGCGTGCTCTATTTGCCGAGCATGCTGAGGAGTTGGAGCAGAGGGCTCTAAAACGTGAACTCAAATTAGAGCGCAAGCGCAAGCTAATCGATTCATGAGGCACATGCGGGAAAAATTTAGCTTTGGAATTCGTCTTCATCTCGATTACACGCTTCGAATTTAAAATAAATGACAAGAAAAAAGAAAAAAAAGTAATTAAAAATTTATATTTTTAAAAATTATTTTGAAAAAATAATAAAAAAAAATGTCATCTTTGTATGAGAAACTATCAAAAGTGTCATTCTAAGGGAAACGGATAGAAAAGTAATTGCAGTAATTGAAAAATCTTCCGTCTCTTTATATATGAAAGGTTCTACAAAGCCAAGCTCAACCAAAATCGAAAAAGAAATTTTTATTGAAAAGTTATATATCGCCCGAAAGAAATGTTACTGAGCTAAAGAAATCTTAAAGAAATCTTTGGAAATTTTTATTAACATAATAAAAAAAAAAAAAAAAAAAATTTTAAATGTACCTAATATTTCCATATAATTGTAGCTGTGTATTTAACTCACATCGCAAGCATCTTCACTACACGCTTTATTCGGATGACGAGAGATCAAGTAGATATTACAAAAATATTGACATTCATTCTTATACCACTTGATATAAATGTATATTAAGTTTGCAGCAATAAAATCATTTTCCATTATACGAAATGGTTCAAAATAATTTCTTGAATTCCGTTAAGCTTTCTTGTCCATCTAAGATCTGGCCATCTGGTATCTATCTCACCTTTACAATTGTATGCTAAATCAACGATGACTTCAGATAGGTTCAAAGGTTCGAATAATCTTTTTAATTAACACCCATCACCCAACGATGAGGAACATATATTCATCAAACCCTACAAAATATGTATATATATATTTTTGATCAGCATCAAATTTTAAATCGATTTAAGTATGTCCGTCTGTCCATCTGTGTAGCGTCGGTTGTAAACGTTCTCATGGCCGCAAAAATGAAACTATCGACTTCAAATTTGGCAGCAACATTGGAAGTTCTTGCAAGCAGGTTGGCGTTGAAGATGGGCCAAATCAGTCGAAGGACACGTCCACAGCATCACGTAAATTGAGAATATCTCTGTTTTTTAAAAAGAGTAAAAATTTAGTTTTTTACTCACTACTCATAAACCAGAGCAGATAAATGTACGAGAATTTGAACGTATACTCTGTGGGCGATGCTGCAGCACCTGTACAAAATTAGGGAAAAATTGACGAGGTCTACCCAATATTATATTGTATCGAATATATATATATTTTTTAATACCTTTATAAAGCGCAGAAATAAGTTTTAAAAACCCCATAAAATATATAAATACTTGAGCATCTAGACATGTACGTCTATTTGTCTTTTCATCTGTCCATCTGCCCAACTGTGGTAAACATTCTCCCATTAGCGAAACTGAAAATATCGCTTCGAAATTTGCAAAAGAATTTCGAAGTGGCTTAAATTTTTCCAAGGACGCACCCACAACGCTGACACGAGCACGCATTCAAAACTTTTATTTTTTGTAGGTTTTTCATGCTGACAACAGTGATGGGTATAAAACATTAGGTCATGACCGTTTGTTGCCAACTGCGATAACAATTCGAATATATATTACACAAGAAGTTTACATAGCTCTGCTGTTAAAATGTTTTAAGGGCATATTTACTTATTTTGTATACTTACACATGCAGTTCAATTAAAACAAAATTTAAGAGTCGAATTTAATTGATTCATGGAAGTGAATCTTATACCAATTAATATTAAAAACTAGTGCCAAGTATGTAAGGAGCAGGAAAGAGAAAAAAATAATAATTCATCTATAAATAAATAAGAAGGAAAAGAGAAAAAGAAAAAAAGCATATGCACAACTAGCATAGCAGCACACCCACAACCAGTACAGAACCAAATTGCAAATGAACCCTTAAGCGATCGCAAACACGCAAGACCTTGGCAACCAAGGCCAATTGATCTTCCAAGCATAAAAGTTAATTTAAACACGACATAGGCAAATCGGGCGTGTTAAACAAAGTTGGTTTGAATCCGGTATTGAGACTAAGTGATAGACATAATTTCGGTTCGTGCAAACAACTAGTGGCGGATGAAATAGCTCACAATTATATTTACATTGACTCAGCTTAATGAAAATAAAGCGGCCAGAGAAGCGATTAGGGACATTAAAGTTTATCTCATCAAGTAATGTGGACGAATCGATATCGATTATCATTAATTAACTTAATTAAGAAGAAGACACCAAGAATAGATGTACATTTCTCAACAGAAGCAAACTATTTTCATAAGGAGGCAAAGAGCACAAGCAGATCCCAAGCCAAATTCCTAAGGCTGAACAGAAAGAATTGCTTTTGAGCTGATTCAATTGAATCTGCATAACACAAATAGGAGGCAGACGACGCAACCGAAGTATACTCAAGTATTGGTCTAACTAAGACCATGTACAGCTTTTTTAGAATGTAAGGATCCTTCAGCTCATTGGACCACCTCTTAATGGAAACCAAGAGCCCAGAACCTAGCTTTACTTAAATAGAGCTCAATGTGCAAATTAAAACGCAATCTTTGGTCGAATAGAATCCCGAATCAACATTTTCCAGCTTGTGCGGATCAATGAAACAGTCAGTACTGAATGATTTCCTTCTTAAGAAAGAAAGCTTCTTGGATTTTTTTCGATTTAATGAGCACCATGCAACCGAATTATTTAAATCAACTTGCAGCTGATGCGATTGCGATTCCAAAGAGAGAGAGAGAGAGAGAGAGAGTGAGACTGAGAGCGAAGCAAACTGTTTAACATCAACAGTGTACATTAAGATCTGGCTGCATTCAATCATCGAGGGAAGATCATTAATGTATAAATTAAATAAAATATCCACTCGATAAACTGTAAATGAAATGCTTTTTAACTTCTTACGGGCTTAGATAACTTATTTAACTTATTTAATTTTCAAAATGAAAATGAAGGTCATTCATATTTATAAAATTAATATGGATGCGGGCGATTGTTGGCTAGAGGGCGAAAAATCTTGCATTTAAATAAAATTGCAATAAAATTAATTAACTGCTCCCCAGCATGATTAAAATAAATTCTCACACTAAACAAGGTAGGTAGGTGTGTCTATGTTCACCGACACACCTACATTTCAAATTAATATCAAAATTATATGAAAATGTCATGTGAAATTTCTTCAAGTTTTGAAAAGTGTCCGCATCTCTGAAAAAGTCTACTATGACAGAAGACCTAATTTCTTCTGATTTGCAAAATTATATAATAACGATATATAATACAAGTTGCACATTACAGGCATTATGCATAGCAAATGTTTACTATGGAAATGTGATCTATGGAAAAAAATGAAAGAAAAGCGCACAAATAAATAAAGTAAACCAAAAAAAAAAAAAAAAAATGAAATAAAAAAAAAATTCCGATTCGTTAGATAGGTTAGGGTTACAACAATTTTTATGCGTGTAAGTAAATAAGGAAATGAAACGTTAAACCTTCATTAAGAAAGGCAATGCAACGAGATGGTGGTCTTACGGCCACATAATCTTATTAATTTTTGTTATTCAATTAAAAATCAAAAAGCCAATCCCACACACCTACACACTGCCAGATAAATTTTCCATGGTTTGATTTTGATTGCCTTTCAATATTTTTAGATATCATTGATTTTATTACGATGATATATAATTTCTATAAAGTAAGTGAACGAAGTTCGGGTGGATGTTTGGTACTTGTCATCTTTAGCCCTTAATTGAGCCAAGTTAGTCGTTTTTTTTTTTTTTTGCGTAAGAAGATGCCAAGAGGGCGCCTTCTCCACTTGGAACTGGCCTGCTTTTGCAATTATTTAAAATGTTTTTTAAATTTAGGAAAAAAATTTCAAGTCCGGCATTTGAAGATGATGAAGCGATCTAAGAAGTTAACTTCAAATACGTTCTTGTATAATATCAGATTTCTCTTATATTGCACAGCACTATAATGAATCATCATCATAAATACCTTACATCACCCTACATACCACTCACATAACGATTTTATCAAATAAGGCGTTAGCGAAGGATATGGGAAGTGATCTGATCCGAATTATTTTTAAAAGCATTCGTTCTTGGGAAAAGATATGTTGGTGTAGAAAATTTCATCTAACCATCTCAAAAATGATGATCTATAGGTTGAACACAATGAAACGAGATGGACAGACTAGCTAAGACTCATGCCGGAAATAACTCTAAACTGATCGCTATAATAAAAGGTGGATCTATCTTATTTCCTTCCGGGTTTTGCATACACAAACTTATATTCTTGGGCCACAAGTGTGATAGGGTAGGATATAAAAAAGTTGTTGGCTAATAGAAATTTGCGTTAAACTGATTCCTCAATTTGTATATAGTCAACTTAACCTCAGTACTTACCGCTTTCTCTTTTTCCCTACTTGCGGGAATGTTTGTAAAGAAACCATACTCCTGCTTGTACTAAACGATTTAATTAATGTTTTCTTCTATATTTCATTATTTGTTGGAAGTTCGAAGTGGACCGGTCGCAACTAGCCATATGCCACCCATGTAACCATTCATCAAGAGCAATTTTGCTTGTCAATACACATATACATCCGTAAACAATCTGAAAAGGAAGCAAGGACAAGGATATATATTTACTTAATAAAAACCCACTGATACGTACAGCTAAGTACTATAAATAGAAGAATGAGTCTAGAAGAGTTCCAAACCTTGCTGGCCATTTCAATTACTATTATGATATAATTTTCATCAATCATGAAGCATTGAAAATTATACGTTTTTGTCGCGTGAAAATTGCCCCAAACGACCCAAAGTTTTCATACTAACTTAGAATGCCGAAATATTACTGCTTAGTCCGTCTTGCGGGGAAATTTTGAAAATTACAATGAGAGTGGTCGAAAAAATTGGCTGATTCGAACCGTTTTTAATACCTTTCATCCTAGAACCAAAACACGTCACTGTACCATGTTTCATCGAAATGTGTCAACAATTACGACCTGTAGCTTGAACACAAATTACATGGACAAACATTAGACGGACAGACGGACAGACAGGGTTAGATCAATTCAGATTACGATGCTGTATCGATCGGTATAATAAAAGGTAGTTTTATCTTAAGTCCTTCTGCGTTCGCACTAACTTA